AGCCAGTTCTTAACCATCGCGCCACTCGGCCGGCCCCTATGGTGTTTTTAAAAAGTTTTCATAACAATTTGCTTCACTGCTTTAAATTTGGTTGATCCCAATATGCACATTTTATCAAAATCTTTAAAATCAGGATGTTTTAAATTGATGACGTCTTAGAGTTACTGTTGAGCAGACAACAGTAGTCTTCATTCTTTCTTGCCTATGTACAGATTTGGTCATAGCAGTGGTGTGACAGACAATGAAAATCATCTATATAGCTAAGTTAAAAATTCTCTTTGTTTAGAAAGCATGTATTGGGTTGTCGGAAAAGTCATGACGCATTTTTGCAATGAAACAGAAAAAATACGTCATGACTTTTCCGACAACCCAATATATTTAATTGCAGTTTTCCTTTCTCAGTGGTATACAAAATAAAATGGTGGATTACAATTAATACCACCTTATTCGATGAAATGGTTTTCACATTTTACAGATAAGGAAACTGAGGCTTATGAAGGTTAAATTACTTGCAAAGTGTCATACAGCTAGGAAATAACAGCAGCATTTCAACAGAGGTTGGTTTGATTCGCCAAAATATGTGCCTTTAACTGCTTTGTTTGGCTCCTTGCATATGTAATAAATTGGCAGAGAGAATTTCTATAATTAAAAAACTTATTTTTTCTATTCTTAACAGTGGGGTAGTTAAACTTCTACCTTATTTTTCTGTCTCCCTTCCCCACTTCTGTTAGCTGTTGACAGGTCTGTGACTGCCAGTCTGAGTGATGCTCGGGACGCCTTAGTGAATGCCGTCATAGACTCCCTTTCAGCTTATCGTTCTTCAGTCCTAAGTAACCACCAGCCTGGACTCATGGTTCCTTTTTCTTTGAGGCTTTTCCCACTCTTTGTGTTGGCTCTTCTTAAACAGGTAAGAGAATCAAAACCAGAAACTAACACAGTGAAAATGTCAAAAGCCAAAATTTTTATTCCAGAAACCCCTAAATATTGTATGTATAACTTTATGCCGGCTAAATTTTCTGAGGGGAAGGACCAAAACTCTTATTGGAATCTTGGAATTTTGTAACCAAAAGTTACAAAATACTTATTTAAAGCATGTACCTTGTTTGTAAGAGATGTTCACTAAGAATTCAGTTATGTTATCAAAGAGGGAAATGATAATCAGTTTTCCAGTTTTCCAAAACAAGAACTGTACATTTTGTTGTTAGAGCAAGAATTCACACATGGGACTCTTCTTTTGGCTCTTTTCCTGCTCCCGACAATATTTCAGCCACATTCTACTTCTTAATCTTAGATACATCTTCTCGCACCTGTCGACCTATTTCCATGGCCTACATTGCACTTTCTTATCCTGTCTTTTTTTTTTTTTTTTNAGCAACGTCCTCCACAACTAGATTGAAGAACAAAATGACAGCAACTTGTCTGTTCCCCTTTCCCCAATTCCCCAGCACTGTTCCCATCACCCCAATTCCCCAATAAAAAATCTTAAAAAAAAAAAAAAAAAACCCAAAAAAACAGGAATAGGTTTAGTTTAAGGTCAGGTGTGGGGATGGGCATAGCTTTAAAAAAAAAAAAAAAAAAAGCTATCATGTTATCATCATTTGAATATGATCCCTGTTGTCTTTTCAGTCATAACTTGAAAAGAATTTTGTATTAAAAAAATTAAAGAAATCAAACTTTAATTTTTACATTAAAGTTTTGATACTATCTCTACTTACTATATAACTATATTTGGTTCTAAATTGAAAAGAAGTCATTCTTCCAAGTGATTTTAATAAAAACTTTTTTTATATTGTTGTCTCTTACTATCATTTGTGTGTTTTCCTCAAAGGTGAAAGAAGAATTCGTGTTCACACTTTGTGTTTGCCAGTAGTTTCAACTCTGAATGAAGTCTTTCTTGGAGCTGATGTTCAAGCAATTTCAGGGTTATTGGCCAATATGGGTAAGTATTGTTATCACCTATTTTAATCTAATTTTAGAACATTTCTATCACCCCCAGAAGAACGTTCTTAACAATTACTGCCTATTCCCTCCTCCTTCACTCATTGACCTTAGGCAACCACTCAACTGCTTTCTGTCTCATAATCTGGCTACTGTAGACTTAAATAACCATATTTTACTTAATGTTTAATATTAGTGGTTAATAGGGTTTTTTTTTATAGCTTTGTAACTTGAATTATAAGAAACAGTGTACTATAAAGATCATTAAACTTGGAGTCATGGATTTGGGATTGAAAACCAGTTTACTTAAGTTTGCAGCCTTGGCCAGATCACATGGTCTAACAGAAAATTTGCTAATATCTTCATGTGTTTATTTTCATCTCAAATATAGTTGCCTTCTTGATTTTTTTTCCGCTCTATCTCAAATACATAGAGCTTAACATCGTTTTGGTTCTTGCTCTTTTTCTCCTTCAGGGAAGACTGCCAGTGAGTCCATTTGCTTCAAACTAAAATCTGCCTATAATTGGAATATTTACCGATTTTCTTTTTTCTTATTTAAAAAAATTTGTTTTTATTAAAAAAAAAATTTTTTTTTTAGCTGAGCCATCCTGCCACCTGTTGGCAGCTCAGCGGCAGCTCAGCTCAGGCCTGGTATCGAACCAGCAACGCTGTTGCTCAGAGCTTGCACTCTTGAGCGAGCTCTTAACCAACTGAGTCACTCAGCTGGCCCCCCTTTTTTTTTTTTTTTAAGATTTTATTGGGGAATTGGGGAAGGGGAACAGTGTTGGAGAATTGGGGAAGGGGAACAGCCAAGTTGTTGTCCTTCAATCTTGGTTGTGGAAGGTGCAGCTAGCTCAGCTTCCAAGTCCAGTTGCTATATGGCTGCCCGTCGGCAGCTGGCGGCCGCTCAGTTCAAGGTGCTGTGTTCAATCTTAGTTGCAGGTGGGCATAGCCCACCATCCCACGTGGGAGTCAAACCAACAACCTTGTTGTTAGGAGCACATGCTTTCACCAGCTGAGCCATGCTGCCATCTGTTGGCAGCTCAGCAGCAGTTCAGCTTAGACACTGCTCACTGGCTCATGTGGGAATCAAAAAGGCAACCCTGTTGCTCAGAGCTCGCGATCATAACCAGCTGAGCCACTCTGCCAGCTTTTTACCCATTTTCCTGAATTTCCTACTGGGGAAATTTTTTCTAATGGAGCCTGGTAAAAGGTCAAACCCCATATTAGTCTTGTATGTTGTTAAAAGTTAAAGATTGTGACTGAAGAAACTTGAGAGTCACTGCCTTTATTTTTGTTGAACTACGTAATACTTCTTGGTAACAGTATGGTCATTATTATTTTTGTTATTATCATCAATAACAACTATATATCAGGTAGTACTATGGTGTTTTTTTTTGTTTTTAAAGATTTTTATTGGGGTATTGGGGGGATGGGAACAGTGTTGGGGAATTGGGGGAAGGGGAACAGACAAGTTGCTGTTGTTTTGTTCTTCAGTCTAGTTGTGGAGGACGTTGCTTCACTGGCCCAAGTTGGCAC